TCACTCGACGAGTCAGGCCTATTGGCAAAGCTAGGATCGGTTATAATTCGCTAAGTTCGGTGCTTTCGAACTTCTCGGGTTGCTGAGATCGTAACGCTAATTCTCTGAGATGGTGAAGTCGAAACTTGTTTTTCTGTACGCTACTTTGTACAATTTATACCACAGGAATGGCTTTGCGACCGTCCGGAGATAAATAACAAATAACCGCCGCTACCCACAGGATTGCTCAGCACTTGCCACCGCTACACCATGCACCATACGACTTCCTTGCACTCCCACTTGCTCGTCCCAGCCCCTATAGGTCGCCTCGACACTCCGCCACCTGCCCTAAGCAGTCCCATCACTCCCCGCAATGCGCCGGTCACGTGCTAATTACCTCCGGCTGCTCGCTGCCTGATGCTGACCTCATGGTGACTCGTATGCGTCCGCACCTTTGGTAGTTTGATGGAAACGAGAGGGAGTGAGTGTTGGAGGTTGGGCATGAGGACGACGCCCCTCGATAGAAGCGCCCGCGGGCCCCGGAGCTAATTCATCTAGAAGTCGCATTGGTTAAGTCGCTCCGGAGCTCCTGTTCACGGAGATAAATCATGGAATGGGTCCGTGTACGCTTCGGGGATGCTAGGAAGGTCGGAGCTAAATAGAACAAGTCTTTAGAGCCCATAGAAGCCTAGAGGCGTGTGAGCGCTGTGTCGAATAAGCTCCGGAGGGCTTGTACGATGTGCTGAGTCCGCGTTTTCGGGAGTCAGACGATCCTGAGGCTTATCACTGCTCACTCCTGATACCGGGGAAGCCCATATACACGGTGCACCACGACTGTATATCCTCCTGATTTTGCAGCTATTTTCGATGTATTCAGATCTATTACCAACCTATGCCATGCCAGCTGCGATAGCGGCACAAATCATCAGAATATAAATCCATGTATTTAAAGTGCCACTTACTACATTCCCCTGTATTTAGAGCTATTGTTCTACCTGTTATATAGAGGAACATATCTAAAAAACACGAGAAATATTGTCGATTTCCACTGGGGTTGATTCCCGGATAGTATTGCATTGAGCATGTAGCCATAGCAAACCCTGTATTGTAGCTAGCCTGAGCAATCATATGTTGTACTGTGTTCATCAGCCAATGTGTTGAGCCTGTATTTCATTCCAGGATGTAGAATACCAAGCAAAACACAGCTGATAGTGTGATTATGGGTCAAAGCAAGCTGGCCTGAGCTTGCAATATGTATAAGTCTGGTGCATATTGTACTTCTTGCGGGAGTCTCACAACATGTGCCATCCAAATATAATGGCTGGCCCAGCTGTCCACAAGACTGGTACATATTGTAATACTGGTATCTATTTTAATTGATTATATGCGAATTATATTCAGATACCAGTTATGGGAAGATTTGCTGATGAAACGGAACCTCATCTTATTGCGAGAGATACAAGATAGGTAGATGAGCTAAGCAGGTTCAGTGATAGTTGTAGACTAACGATCCGCTTGCCCAATCCATCCATCTATTACTCAGTAACCAAACATGGTCAAACTCAGCACCACTCGGTGGCACCCACCTTGCAGTGTTTTTGGATCAGGTTGACAGTGCACCTATATAGCTCCATAAATAGTGACTCACATGGTGTGGGAATTGTTATGCCTTGATGGAATACCACTCTATACACTAGGAAGAGGCACTGTGGACCATCACACCCAGTGGTGGTGGCTGGGGAAAGGCTCCAGGAGCAGTATCACTGAAAAGCAGTAGCTACTTTATTGAGCAGTTAGATTCTCCTGCACTCTTAATTAAACCTGTATCCCTATATGAGGTGATCACAGTCACAAAAGGGCATATTATTACATGTGGTATAAGTGTGGGAAAATGTGAGAAAGGTTTTTGGAGCCAGCAGTGTGATAAATATTTTGCAGCCAATTATGATGTACTGATGCACACAGCCATATTATCTGAGCATGTGGTGTAGAAATAGATCTCAGATCCAATATCTACCCATTCAATGCATCCTATCAGGCTGTTTTGCTACTTCGCCCTCCGATAAACACAACCAAACACACCCATATCAGGCAGGTAAATCACATGAGCCGGGCCTCCCGCGTCGACTACCAAATTGAGAAGCACCCTTACACTAATGTAAATTTGCCTGCAGTGCAGTACATAATTACTAAATAGTGCTAACTTTGATTTCCCTCGTAGTCTATTGGTTAAAGTGTTAGTGATTTATGTTGTAGACGAGATTTCAAGGCCTGGTGCTGTATTATACATTTATATCCACAGACCACAGATTATGCTACAATGGCTATTTCAGTGCCAGCATAGACCCTGGGGCTGTATTACAATCCCCCCACTATGAAGTTCAGGAGGTATTACAGCCCCAGGGATTGTATTACAGTAGCTAGTGCAGTCCCGGTGATAAGCCTCATGATTGTCTGACCCCCGAAAACATGGACTCAGTGCATCGTACAAGCCCCCCGGAGCTTATTCGACACAGTGCTCACATGCCTCTAGGGCTCCATGGGCTATAAAGAATTGCTCTATTTAGCTCCGGACTTCCTAGCATCCTCGAGGCATACACGGACCCATTCCGCGATTTATCTCCATGAACAGGAGCTCCGGAGCAACTTAACCAATGCGACTTCTAGATGAATTAGCTCCGGAGCCCGTGGATGCTTCTATCGAGGGGTGTCGTCCTCATGCCCAACCTCCAGCACTCATTCCCCCTCGTATCCATCAAAATACCGAGGGTGCGGATGTATACGAGTCACCATGAGGTCAGCATCAGGCAGCGAGCAGCCGGAGGTAATTAGCACGTGACCGGCGCATTGCGGGGAGTGATGGGACTGCTTAGGGCAGGTGGCGGAGTGTCGAGGCGACCTATAGGGGCTGGGACGAGCAAGTGGGAGTGCAAGGAAGTCGTATGGTGCATGGTATAATGGCGGCAAGTGCTGAGCAATCCTGTGGGTAGCGGTGTTTATTTGTTATTTATCTCCGGGCGGTCACAAAGCCATCCCTGTAGTATAAATTGTACAAAGTAGCGTAAAGAAAAACAAGTTTTGCACTTCACCATCTCAGAGAATTAGCATTACGATCTCAGCGACCCTTGAAGTTCGAAAGCGTTGAACTTAGCGAATTATAACCAATCCTAGCTTTGCCAATAGGCCTGACTCGTCGAGTGATTTATCTCCGCCATTGATTTGATTACCTCCGGTGAGTCCTACATAGCGAAATAAAATTAACCAAGTCTCTCTAGCAATTTCGACCACCACGGGCACGATCCTAGGACAGGCTTCATTGATTGCGACTTTGATTGCGACTTTTCAGAGATAAATACTCCGGAGCGTCAACTAGCGTTTGTTTCAGGCATCAAAGAATTTGTTTTATTTTTTTAGGTCTTCCTACGGACTACCCTACATCGTCTTACTCCTCCTTCCCCCTCAAACTATTAAAATATCCCTCAGTTGTCTCGGACTGCCTCCACCCATACCACTGGTGTTAGGTTTATTTCTTTTGGTCCTTGGTGTTGTGTGTCTGTGCATATCACCGGGTATGAACTACAGCACCTGGTATAGTCCTGGGTATTAAAGCACAGGGGCTACTACAGGGCCAGGAGTGAAGTACAGTAGCTACTACAGTCCTAGGCAGTGAAGCACAGCAAGTAATACAGCCATAGGTTGAAGTACAGTTGCCTGTGAATACTGCACATGGGTTTTACAGCATAATTTGGCTTACTGTATTACAATTGAGGAACCACAACTGGATACTGATACCAATAATCTGGTGAAGCCTTTACTTGTGGCCCTATGAAGGCTGCCACCCAAGGATCACTATCAGTGCCACAAGAGATACCAGGTGGATGTGCAGGCCTATCTATTGCCAGAGCCTATGGTGGTTTAGTGCAGAGTATATGTGTTGACTTAGCAGGCAACATAAGATCAGTCTTATGCATTTTGCACGGGAATGCCCTGGACTCTGTAGATTTTCCGGAGACCGCTGACAAGCCTCAAGGATCATCCGACCCCCGAAATCGCAAATTCAATGTCCCTACCCACCTCTTCCTGAGTGTATTTGATGTCATAATCACATGTTCTCAGGCTAGAATTGGTTCAAGACATTTTCTTGATTTAACTTTGGACTTCCTAGCATCCTCGATGCAAAGCTTTAGCTCCAAGGTCACACACTCCAGAGTGACTCAGGATGCGACGTCACTAAGAATTAACTCCAGCATCCACAGTCCTCTGTCTCATTGTGCACCATCCACATTTCCAACTTTCAGCACTTCCCCTCCTTTGTCTCCATCAAATTACTGAGCTTGTGAATGTAAATCCACGACCATGAGGCCAGCATCAGTTGGCGAGCGGCCGGAGATAATTAGCACGTGACTGGCATGTTGCGTGGCTTGATGGGAAGGTTTAGGGCAGGTACTGACACATCCAAGCGACCTCTGGGAGTTACGGCGAGCATGTGGAGATACAATAAAGTCATATGGTATGTGGTATGGCAGCGGAGGAGTGCTGAGAGGTCAGGGTCAACCTTGCTCTGCATGGTCTAGAATACATAATGATGGATGAATACATGGTTCGGGTACACCATACCCGGAATCTATAGAAGTGTGCTGGGTGCATGCATGGGGGCTTGAACTTGCATCTTCCGGGAGTTGAGCAGGCTCTTACGGCTTATGTGCTTACACCTCTTATTACATCTTAAACGGTCTTATTACCTTATATAAGACGATAAGAGAGATTGAGCTTTTCCTGATGGCCTGGCAAGTGTGAACGTGAGTGTACAATAAAGTCGGGATGCAAGTTGAGCCGAGAACATTAGATGCTGCTGCGAGCAACTGTTGAGGAGCGATTGTCAACGTGTCTGGTCACGCCCAGTGACCAGAAAGATGTCACTCCTCAGGATGAGGTCTGTCACTTATGTTTTTCCAGCTCCGAGGACAAATTTCAGGGACCCGCATCATACAGTACAAACCTGATTGAACGATAAATCCACTTCAACGTAGGACCAACTTGATACGCATGACAACACTAATGACCAGGTCAACATTGTGACATGAAAGGCACTCTCGCACACAAGCACATCCTATAAAAATCATTAATTCTTGCAGCAGTACTTCTTGTAGCCGGTCCAGCAGCACGCGCCATCTCCGCACGAGCTTGTGGCGGTGTCGGTGTATCCCTCGGGGCAGCTGCCCGCACAGAACGGCGAGGTGCCGCTCCAGAAGCACTGCGGAGGCTCGGCCTGGCTCGGGATGATAGAAAAGATGTTCGGTGAGAACGGGTCAAAGGTGATGGCGGCGTTGGTGGCTAGGACTGTCGCGGCCAGGACGCAGATGGCGGGGAGCTGCATGACGTGTAAGATCTCTAGATGGGTGTGGCGGGGGTATCAGCCGATGGAGGGGGAGAAAGGGCTATAGGATGTACCTGACTGTGTGTTTTGTGAAGGAAGAAGATGGTGTAATCGCGATTTGGTGAGGCCAAATTGCCTGAAAACGTAGTGGTCAGTACATGTAGGGCCTCCAGGAAAGGGGAAAGCTGTACGAGAGAAGTTGAAGGAAGTTCGTTAAGGCTTGGAAGATTGAAATAAAGAACAGAGCTTTTATACGAGGGCGACGAAGTGATATCATTCTTCTTAGCTTTCGCGAAGTCATTGACATTGTATGGAAGCTTTCATATATGCTCGTCGGTTTGTGCACTCCGCTGTCCATTTTGACGGGCGGACAACCCAGAGCACTGGCAGCCGATTATTCGATGCTCGCCGACAACGGCGTCGCTAAAATTGGGTATTTGAGTCGTGCGCATCACAGAATTGAATGAAAGAAGATTGGAGGGCTGATGAGTTGCACCAACAGGACCGAGTAAAGGCACAGTGACGCCCCGAGTTGCTGCATACCCACGCCATGTCATCCACCTGAGTCTGACCTAGGTGTTCAATGAAGGAATCCTTACTGGCTGTGGGTCGTGCGTCATTACGGCGTCGTCTTGTAGTGCCCAGATTCACAGTCCTGCAGCCGGTCATTAATTCACCGATGTGACTGTTCCAGCGGACCTAGTATTCTCACGTGTACATCGAGCGTGGTTGTACATTCTTGAGTAGTGAGTGAATGGTCGGTAGATGCAGCAAACCATTGTTAGCAGTGGACGCATTCCCGCTGTACCTTCATCTCTGCGATCAGCAGGGTAACTGAGTACCAAGTGACTGTGTCCTGGACGGAGCCCCTCACCGTGGGACTCGGGATGATCCGGACACAACCGCACAGCTACGCTCGCAGGATCTGGCACTGGCTACCCCTCCTCGTTCAAGTACTTATCGCTGTGAATTTACCAAGTTCGACGACGAAAGAGAGCTGTCGCGGTATCGTCTTGCGTGGTGCACCCGTTCGTATACGTGGCGCGGCCGTAATTCTCCCCGTGTTAAACTGGAAAATCGTTCGCGAGCGCACCCAGCTAGCAGGATCTCGCGAGATACGACTTAGGTGCTCTACTTCGACTCGGATCCTGCACGTCTTAAGCTACTGCCATCGACGTTTTGTTTCTGGAGCAGATTTGCCTTCTCGCCTAGCGTCGTTATCGTGTCTGGCAACTAACTTGGTCACTGGCCGGTTAGCTTTATCGTTCCTCCACGGGATGATGTCCGTATTGTCGTTATTGTTTCTGCGCGCCGCGGTGAACTTTTTCCAGTCGAATATCGTAGCCTGGATATTTAGCGTGCGTCCGATCACAATGTTTTTGCCGCATCCGACCAACTGATGCTCTTGCTATGACAACGAATAGGAGGTACTTCATATTTACAGTGATATAATCCACCTCTTCCTTTATTTCGATGATATCCACAACATCGTCATCTCGCCAGTGCTTGCATCCCCGCCCTCTCTCTAGCCTACGAGACCCTTGCCACTATCGTACATACCCGTTGCGTGTGATCGATTCTGACATCTCAGCGAAGACTAATCGTACGGTAAAAGTTCGACACACTACTCACTGTATTAAATAGGACAGCCTTACGAAACATACCAAGTGAGGATCAATTGGCTTTATGTGAACCGTCCAAAGACCCAGAGTCATGTCTGAGTTGGACCCGAATTAAAATTACTGACACACCAGCAGGTCATAACAGAAGTCGTGACCTTCGGCAAGTCGTCGACAGTGTCATGGGTACAGGTTTAATGATCGGCAGATGTGTGATGTGCGTGCTGAAATGAATGAACACGTCGGGGCAAACTGAGGTCGGTCTTTGATTGAAGCCGACCACACTTCGTGTGAATAGTGAAAGGAGATACCTCGTGAGTGACAACGTTGTATTGAACATTGTGAAATATTCCAACCCTATTGTAGTGGTGCTGACTCGCTACTCACAAGATTTTAGCTCCCGAACAACGGGGACGGCTCTAGTACATCTTTGACAGCATGAATTCGTCTTCAATTATACGACCCTTTCCGAAGGCTCCTGGATTAACGGAGATTGTTCGACGCCGAGGAGCTCGCTGCCTGCATCAGGGCCAGCCTGAGCCCCGGCCTATTCTTGAGGCAGTGGATGGAAAGTGGGATTCAGAACGTGCGCCAGATACCTGCCTTGAATGGAACTGTTCAATGGTGAGTCCTGTGGTACACTTCATCTGACATGGCTCTGCATCTCATAGTTGGTCCTTCGATACTCTCAGACGCCATGGTGTGTTCGTTGCATGTGTACGTCCAGAACGTCTAGTATGTGTCACGGAAATAAATGCGGCTCCCACTCTATGTCTAAATGCGAGAGGTTACTGGCATTCTGTGCGACGACGGAGTACAACTATGTCTATTGATTCCGAGTCTTCACCTTTGTGACATTTTCCAAGCACATCTTCATAATTCCTATGTTCTCTTCGGCTGCATGTACAGGTTGGCGGAAGTTTACAATACCGGTGAGCACGTATTTGCGCACGTCACCCGTGTTTTCCGATGCGTATGTATATATACTCATTAGACGGGACACTACCCTCATCAACTTACTCCAGCTTTACAGATTGTGGTCGGTTCACAATCATGGGTCTTTTCTACGCCTACGTGAAATATGTATGCATACTTTTCATTCGTTCATCGTCGAGTGCTGCTGACTGTCTCCCTTCGCCTCCCTACTAGTCTAGAGACAACGATACTTATCGCTATGTCATGACTTTCGCCAGTCGCGAAATTGCGGACGAGTGGTGGCGAGCGTTCTCGAAGACCTCCTACGCCAACTCCGTCAAGCGGGTGACGCCCGAGTTCTACACTCATGATGTCGCCGTCTTTAACCTCACCGACTCGGTGCTCAGACAAGATTGCACCCCCCAATTCCTGAACAAGGTGTTCTTCACCCTATTGATGGACCGGGGTGGACGGGATGTCAACCATTTGCCGCTGCAGAACATCACTGACCATGTCAGCGGAAACTTGTGAGTCTGCAACTGCGTGGGGAGGTGAATGTAAGATTGAATATACATGCTATCTAGATTCTTCATTCGCTCCAAGGCCGACCCTACTCAATTCTGGTACTGCCCGAACTCGTCGGAAACTCCTCTTTGTCTCTCGCGGACCGACCGCACCCTCTTCCGCATCGACATAGCCAACGCGGCCGCGGGCGAGGGCCGAGGCACTGTCATGATCAGCACCGACGATATCACCATCACTGCAGTCTCCTCGGGCAAGGATTTACCTGTCTCGGTCGGTGATTCTGGGGTAGTCATAGCCGGTGATAAACTCGAGCGATTCAAGTTTGGCGACTTCAAGGGCGGCTTTAGGGTCGGAAAGGCGTATGACTTGACTGACAAGAAGGAGGTTAGAGCCTTGATTAGGACCGAGGAAGGAGAGAACTGGGAGCTCGTTAACTGATTGACTTTGAAGGACTACTTCATCATAATTAGCGAAGTTTTGCAATACATGCCTGCCACATTTCTGCGAGCGGACATACCCGTGTGCTCACACGTGACTGTTCCGGGCTGTTCAAGCCGTTAAGCTTGTAGGCTGGAAGCCAGTGGCTTTGAAGTCTGTCTACAGCTGGGTGCGAATTCAATGGAATTCGATAGCACACTGATTGGCATCCTACTGGCGGCGATTTCCAACGAAATTCCAGAACACGGCTGGATAGCTGTATAAATAGTAGCTAGGCAGGAAGTGCCACGCGTCACTGCCACAACCCCATTTCTGCTCGCTGAGCCGCCAGCTTGCCTCTCATAGTGAGCTCCATATCCATTGTGCTTCGCAGAAACGTCTATTCTGGAAGGTGCTATAGTACAGACCTCCCAGCCCTTCACTAAGCCCAACTTGAAGTCTCGGAGGCGGGAGGCGGTGCCACTAAACCTTGGCCGACTCAGCTTTGCCAACCAAGGAAGACATGTACAATGCCACCAAAGATAAGGAACGAAACCAGCCCTCCACTTCTCGAGGGCCGGGTTTAGCGTACTGCCTGCCGGCGGAGACCCTGAACGAGATATTTCACTTTGTTCGAGGAAACGGGTACAGTAACAGCCTGCTTCCCGTCAGTGAAGTCTGCCGATACTGGCGGGAGGTTGCGCTTGATGACCCTACTCTATGGTGCAAGCCGTGCCTATCGCACCCAAAACTCATTGAAGAGGTCCTGAACCGCAACAAAGGACGTTCCTTGAATATAACGGTCAATGGCGACTTCTGCGCCTTCAGAGGCGGCCTGCCCGTCTACCAACCGTTCGGCGGCGACATCAACCACCGGAACCACGGAATTATGAGGATGCTGGCCTGTGTACACCAGGCTACGAAGCTCAAGATGAAGGCTGGTGTGTGGACCTATGTATATGAAGGCTTCCACCCGGACCAGGACGCCAACGAGCTCTTTCAAGGTGAATTTCCCCAGTTGCGTCATCTCAGACTGGACTCTCTGCCCAGTCCGTACCCAGCTCTCTTCCGCAACCTGCGTTCCCTCGGTCTTAGCGACGTGGAAGTCAGCTGTGCCGACCTCCTGCAAGCCCTCCACGACGCGCCCCTCCTGGAGTCTCCGGATGCACTATCCCGCTGAACGATGCTGGCGGTCTCGATGCGCCAGACGTATCCAAGGGCGACGCGGAAGCCACCCTCCGCCACCTATCCCGCCTGAAATACACGTCCGGCGCGCTCCTTAGCTTCACGCACCTGATGGCGCACCTGCGCGTCCGGCAGCCGGTCCAGCTGGATCTCGAGGCCTTCCACGCGGGCGGGGTATACCCGGAAGTGATGCAGGCCATCAACTACCTCCTCACCGCACGCGGCAGGCGCCCCATCCGATCCGCACGCGCAGCGTCGAGCTCCGCGCGTGGGGCCACGTCGCGGAGGGCGGATACGCGCCGCTCGACGACGCCCGCGCGTCGAGCGTCCGCGTTCGCTCGGACGCCGCCGAGAGCCTGCGGAGTCGGCTATGGTATCCTTACTTCGCGCTCGCGGACGTGAAGGCGATCCGCGTGGGGTGCGTCCACGGGTCTCGCGCGAGCCATCTCCCAGAGTACTTCGGGGCCGTCGATGCACTGGAGGCACTGGATATCCCGGTGGTTAACTGTGCGGGCGAGGTGCCCTCCCTTCTCGCGACGAAGCAGCGGTCCGAAGACCCGCAGCATCCGGGGCTGTTCCCCCGGCTGAGGCGGCTGAAGGTACGGGCAACGGAGCCTTGGATGCCAATGCCGCCTGCGATTGTCTCTCTGCTCCGAGAGTATCTGAAGGAGCGGTCCGAGAGCGGTGATCCTCTCGACGAGCTGCGCGTCCCCGACGGCTCTCTCCGAGCTGCCCCGAGCGCCAGTGTAGAATCCGAAATCAAAGGATATGTCCGTGACCTCGTTTTTGTCCCTTTCGAAGGGCAGACACGTTGATGCATATCATCAGGGGGAACTTCTCTCGCTCATAGATATGTGCATGCACCATTCTTTCTTCTCTCTACGTCGAGCGCGGCTCGTCGGCGTGTCTGAGTTTAGCAGCTCCACAAGTTATTTGCCGTATCTCAGAACGCCTGTCACCTCGTAGGTTGCCCCGTGCTTTGCGACGTTCAATAGAATAACTGGAGCGACGGGACCTGAGACTCGCATAACCCTTTTCACTGCGATGTCTACGGCTCGCTACAGCTCCTTTGACGATCATCTGTACGACACTGATATCGCATACTACGTGAGCAATCGAAAGGGTTGCGACGCTCTCCCCGCGCTCCATATTCCTCACCTCACATCCATCGCATGGTGTGCGGATTGCTATATATACCCCGTTCCGCGATTCCTTATTCTTTATACACACTCCACGAAACGCAGACAGGAAACCAAGGATACAATTGACACGAATAGAATATCAATACATACACACAACGTACGAACGGGGGGCAGGGGGTATCCTATCGACTGTAACAAGTGCGCGACATAAATAAAATGAACGAACTGTAACACGCAGACAGACAATCACCAATGTCCTATGAATCCAGTTTACAGACCAACAAAGCGAGCGTCCAAGCGGGGTGTGCCAAAACCAAATAAAGAACCAATAAATCACAAACCAAACCATCCATCCAAGTCGTCGCGGGGTTTCGTTTCGCGTGTTTCGTGTTCGTGTTGTCCTCCAGATCATTCCCGCAGGCAGGGAGGAACGCACCTACCGCCCCACCCCCCGCAGCACATCCCGACTTCCCACCCTCACGCCCTCCCCCGCATCCCCCCGCGCCCCGCCCACCTCCCTCACCCCGCCAATCTCCCCCGCCCGTACGAGATGGTGCCAGTACACCCCGTCCCCGGCCCGCAGCTCCCTTCCCAGCCTCGCCTCGCCCTCGCCCACGCCCTCGTCCTTGGCGTCCAGCGCGAGCACACCCAACTGCGGGGAGCGCGGCGCCGGCGCCGGCGCCTCGTTCTCCTTGTCCTCGCCCTCGTCGGCGCGCCACGCGGGCTCGAGCGGCGGCATGTCCGCGTACGCGTCCTCGCCCTCGCCCTCGCCCTCGGCGCTCGGCGCATCCGACAACGCCGGCGATAACATGGGGTCGCCCGCGGCCGCGGGCTGCCGTGCGAGCCGCGAGTCCACGAGCGGCGGGATGCCCTCGTACTGATACGCGCCCCGGTCGACCGTCCAGCGCGTGCTCCGCCCCTGGCTCGGCACGATCGCAGGGGGCGAAGGGGGAGGCGGGTCGAACGGGACGACGCCCTCCTCGCCGGGGACGTACCGCCGCTCGCACGCTCTTACTTCGCGCGAGTAGAACACGAAGCGGTGGCCGTTCGTGCTCCGCTGGGAGGGGCTCGTCGGGGGCTGCGCGGTGCAGCGCAGGCACTGGGGAGCGGTCAGCGGAGGTGTTCTTGGAACCCACGGAATTGCAGAAAGAAAGACGAGATATGGTGGAGTTCTCGCATGACATTTGACGCATATAACGCGCATACATCCACAAAACCAGATCAAAAAACGAAACACCCACTCACCGGACAAACAATCACATACCCCACCGCCGCCCCGCATCCGTGGCAGCACAGCGTCTGCGTGAGGCACTCGCACGTGCGGCGCCCACTCGAGGAGGGCAGGGGCGGGGTCCGCGCGTCCCAGGCGGAGCAGTTGGCCGGGAGCGCGTCGGTGGAGAAGAGCGAGATGGACGGGTGCAGGAGGAGCACGGCCTGGGAGGCGGGGTTAGCGTCTGTGGTCGGGTGAGAGAGGGGGCATAGGGTAGTGAAAGGAAAAGCTGAAGGGTGGCTTTTGTACAAGCCCGGAGTTCAACTTTCATCGTCCGCGAGACGAGTCGAACCCAAGATCCACCCGGCGAATGTAGCTCGGCTCGCCACGAATGCGAGCCATCCAAACCTACTTCGTCGCCACAGAAGACTGAACCGAGCGGGAGTGCACCCGATAAAGTTAGAGATGGGTATATATGAAGAAGTGGAGATGCGAATCGCGATACTGGATCGCGCGAAGATCCGTTACGAACTCGCCGCGGGCGGGTGCCGAGCTGGCATCGCGAGAGCTTCACTGCGCTGTTCGGCGGGCACCAGAGACAGTGTCCCCTGCGAATGCTCCCGCACGGCCGCAGCCACGAGCGAGAGACTCTGCAAACGAAATGGCACGCACCTTCATACCCCTGTTGGTGAGGAAGGAGCCGCAGGACTTGCAGTCGAGGATCCAGACCTTCTGGGGGACGTGGGTGCGCTGCGTCGGGGGAGGCTGGGGCGGATGCCACGTCGCGGGAAAGTGGAGGGTGCGCTGGCGCTGGAGGAGACGCTGCTGGGCGAGCACGCGGGCGTCGGCGGCGGGGGAGAAGAACGAAAGCGGAGGCGGGTTGACATGAATGGGGAGCGCCGCGGTCGGGGGACTGGGGTGGTGCATCGGGGCAGACACGGGCAAGGGCACGAACGGCGGCGCTGCGGGGTTATATAGGAATGCGGGCGAGTGAGAAGGCAGGTGTACGTGATTCTGATGGCGCGCTTCGTGAGACGGTCGCATCGCGGGTGTGGGCGACTCTGGAAACGAGAGACACCGTAGACAGGAGAGCAGCGGGCGAGCAGAGGACAGGGGCAGCAGAGCACAACACCTTCACACGTCATCATCGCTGATTCTGATCTCCCTTCAACCCCGTCGGCGGTCATCCTCCTTCGCACCGACACTGCCCCCGAGCTCACCTTCAAAAGCACCGAGTCCTCGGCTAGCTGGCTTCCCCGCGAAATAGCAGCCCGCGACGCCAACCAGAGCAGCAACTTTGGGACCATCTCCCTATAGATGGAGATTCATTTTGCTTCCGATGTCCGAGCGCCACAAGCACATCGTCCCGATATGGCATGCGCCTTGTGCGAGTGATTGATCGGGTGCGAGTGATTGGCCCGCCGGTGAAATAAATTCATTTGGTCGCCGGCTCTCGTTGTGGCGGCAACTCCTTCAACCAACTAAGTACGTGCTGATAAAATGCGAAATCTCAGTGGGTGCCAGTCCACAATATTAGCACTTGCGCGAGATGGATATAGCACCGAATGACCTGCACTGCTCAACCTTTCAGTCCAGGCTGTCCGATGGAGATGATCATCCGTACCGCCGGGCAGCGTCGACTCTATCCCTCTCAGATTCAGCATTATACGTCTCAGACAACACCGGCGTCGACTCGTGATTGTGTGGTCTCCGATGTAATATTCGCACCGCCAGGTAACTCAATTGTGACTCGCTGTTCTGAGGAAATTACTCGTTACCCAAACACCTTGCAGCCACAGAGTGCACTTCACTTCTTCAAACTTCTTTACTAAGTCTCATATCGCTGGTCTGTAATAAGCTGTCAAATACATCGCGTACTATTTGTCATGAGCCCTTGCAAAAGGAAAACACTAAAAATTGGTACCATCTAGCCCAATACACACCGCTTCCTGAGCCTCATAACCATTGCACTTGAACTGATGTTGCCACGACAGACAGACAGACACTACCGAGAATGGATGTAGGCTTCTAAATGCACCTCATGTTCCTTCAGATAACGTCTGAGCCATACTACGACAGTTACCTCAACCACCGGGCAGTATATCACGCAACGACTTCGCGTATGGCGGCGCGCGTACATGAGAAGCGAAACAACGGTCTTGAGATAAGATAATTATGTGGCATTCTGATTTTCATAGCATTATAGAGGGCGAGGGACATGCTAGATACGCTCCTGTCGATCAGGTCAAGTACTGGCTAGTAAGATTCTGAACGAACAAGAGGATGACTTCAGGCGTAGATAGTAGTAGGTATATACACTGCTGATCATCCGACTACATCGCTGGACACCTCTAGCTCTTCGAAGCGAGGAACTGATCGCAGTTATATACAGCCTTTATTGAAGGGCACATGAGTGGACTTGCAATATCACTGGCGCCAGCCACAGCCATTTTCACGCTGCACAGCCACGGGAACTTCGATCAGCTCTCAGAATTGACTGCGGCTCACTAGCAGTATCCACTCTAATAGCAGACTTGGACTCTGAATGGCGCCGACGAACCTCTCCGTGCTCACCCGCTCGCACAAGGTCGCCTCGCTCAAGAAGCGCGCGAAGAGGGAGCAGATCAAGGAGGTTGTGTTTGACGACGATGCGCGCAGGTACGCTCGGCTGTCGTAGACGCATGTGGTTGCTCGAATGCGGGTGTAGGGAGTTCCTGACGGGCTTTCATAAACGCAAGCTCGCGAAGAAGGAGGCCGCGAAGAAGAAGGCAGTGGAGAGGGAGAAGCAGCAGAGGCGCGAGCAGCGGCTCGAGGTGCGTTAGCGCTGTGTTCTTTGCTTGCTGTCAATTCGGATACTGAACCTGTTGCTTCTTGTTCCTGTTATGCTTATAGCAACGTCGAGCACTAGCCGAGCAAGCAGTCTCGAACGCACGAGAGGTCGAGAAAGCGTACGGTGGTGTAGTGGACGGTACGTTCTTATCCGTACACCGTATACCATCCCTACATCTCATTCACTGTCTACCCGTCTGCTATTAAATAATCATCGCGCACCTCCGCCTCCGGCTCGATACTCTACCACTGCCGACGCGCACCCTGCATCCTCCTGGCATCCCTCCTACTCTCCCGTCGCTGACGCACTACGCCCTCACCGGCGATCCGTCACGACCTATCATTGTCCTGCTATGCTCCTGATATCATGAACTTTTTGCTCTACCCGACCTTGACCTCCTCACCATCTCCCCCCCCTTGTCACTCTCCTCCCGCCTCTTTTGTCTCCGATTCACCTTCCCATCATCCTTCATCCACCACTTACTCGCCCTTCTAGAAGAAGACTCCGCGGACGACTTCACCGGCATACACTCGGGCGACAGCGACAACGAGCGCGAGGAAGAGTACGCCGGCGCGGAACTGACCGCGCACGTCACCGTCGTCGAGGAGTTCGACCCGTCCGACATCCACGGGGTGGGGCCCGGCTCTGGCGCACACCCCGACTGCGGGGACAAAAACGAGGACGAGGATGGCGAGGGTGCCCCGGTGCCGCCGCCTGAATCGCGTCGCCGCACGCCGTCCAGACCACCCCGATCGCAGCTAGCACCGAAGAAAGACAAGAAAGACCCGAAGAAAGTGAAATACCAAACGTCCGCCGCGCGCAAAGCCGAGGAACGGAAACAAAAGCGACGGAAGGGCGAAAAGGCGGAGCGCGCGCGGGGGAGGGATAAGAGCAAGGGGCGGAAGGGGAAGCGGTGAGGGCGGGTGTTTGGTATGTCATGTGTCGTGCCGGAGTACGAGAATACCTGAACGATTTCCGTTCGATCTAAAGCCCCAAATTGTATGGCACCGGCATCACAGTCTTTAGCGCCAGACCCCAAGTGAAAGATTCCTTTAATTCGTGCGTTTTGGAGCCCAAGTCCCCCACTAGATCACTGACGTAGCGGAGAACGTTGGATTGAGGTAAGTAGTGGTAACATTGATTATATCGCATATACACCCGCAGAACTCCCCGAATGTTACAAACGTACTCGGGACACAATCGGGGTCTGAACGTACTTTCGCATTTAGGAAAGGAGTGTCAAAAGGTGGATATGATCCGCTGTAGCCCGCAGATGGTATGTCGAATTGCTAGGTAAAATCGAAATCAGCCCCGTAGGAATCCTTCACGGATACGAAGTTCTTGGATGGGGTCTCTACCCTCGTACAGTGCCTGCACATAATCGTTGAGAGCTTCCAGAAACATGTGGTCCCTCCGCTCTGACTGGCCATATCCGCGATGCAGCTCTTGCGCTTCGCGTATCTTCGAGTGTTTCAGGAGCGGAAACAGGTGGCAGGTGGAGATGGTCCGGGTGCTCGAGGCGTTCCTTTGTAGCCAGATAGTCGAGCACAGGAGTGGCGAGGTCAGTATCAAGGGTATCTATCCAGCGACTCCACTTTCTTCATGGTATGGAAGAACACTGGAATGTGTTTTGCATACCTGTAACAGATGTGACAGTGTACACGAAGAGCGCATACACTTCCTAGAGCCAGATGGTCATACCGCAGTTGACTCCGGTCCGTATGCTACAGGTATAGGCAAATGCTTGAAACGAGAGCCTTGTCCGATGGCGCATGACCGTCCTCTGCGACATATGACTATGCATTTAGGCCTTCGCAGTAGATTCCAGCTGGAACCCACCGGGTTCTCCTGCCCGACATTGATAAGCAGGTGGACGGGTTGGGTGATTCGAAGGTGTGCCAGCAGATGTATACAGCGCCCTAAATATCGTGAGCCTTCGCAAATGGACCAGGATCACTGCCTGCTCGTCGGCTATTCGTCCAGGGTGCAGTGTCGCGTGGTAGCGAGCACTGGCTTCATCATCAACATCGAGATCCAGTCAATAGGAGAATCATGGTCGACATGGTCCTAGAAACTGGGCTCTTCCACTTGGGGGCCTCGCGGAGCACTTCTACGAGGTTTGCACAAGTGACAGACGTGTGCCGCGATGTACCGGTGAGTAAGTTATGGAAGAATGCTGGTGTAGGGTTGGGGATGCATTTTTCCAAGCCCAGATAGCGTAGATGAGGGAAGTCGCCTTGGAAGTCACGGTTTCGGTCGATATTTCGGACACCTATATTCAAATATGCGCCTGTGTTTCGTGTGTTGCCTCGCACCACAAATACAATAAGATTCATCTGAGGCTAGAATAGGCCTTTAGCCTCGAGTTCCCGCTGCCACGCACAGTCGAAGGTAAACAACGCACAAGTTCTCGCTGACATGGTCAGTGATATTCTGACAGATGGCTGACATCCGGCCCAGCCCGGTCCATTAGGAGGGTGAAGAACACCTTGGTCAGGAATTGCGGGGTGCAGTCGGGCCTGAGCACGGAATCAGTAATGTTCAAGACAGCAACGTCATGAGTGTAGAACTCTGGCGTCACCCGGATGACGGTGTTGGCATAGGAGGTCTTCGAAAACGCTCTCCACCACTCTGCAATTTCAGGACTGGCGAAAGTGGTGACATAGCGAGAAGCGTCGTTGTCTCGAGACTGAGGGAGAACCAAGCGTCATCTTCACCGAATTTGGCAGTAGATATGCGAATATACATACGTATTTCACCCGTACGCGTAGAAGAAACCCCATGGGCATATTTCTGTAAAAATCAGGGTCACCTGGAGCATGACTATGGAATAGAAGACAAGTTCGAGGTTGCTCATGTCAACGAGTACAGTCTTCGCTGTTGTTCGCTAGCGGGTAGCCGATGAGAGGAGACTTAGCCAGTAACGAAGCACGACTTGACTGATTGCGAAATTGTGCAGTTTACTAGTAACTCTTCGACAGCTTGCGACTCGACGTCATCATTCCCAATGCATCTATGGGGTCGCCTCGGATCAAATACCATCCTCGTGCGACCGTGTTCTCGAGCCCTCCTCCCCAGGCCCAAAGTGCATACAACATCCCTGGGAAGCAGCCAACTATCCTCGGCACTACAAAATCAAGTTGATTGCCTCCTTGTGTACCATCTATGATATACAGCACTGACACACCTTCGTGCCGCACATATCACGGAATCCAAAGGACGGGGTTCTGCAGCATTTTCAGGTGACGTGACATACTCTCCAAGTGGCTCGCTTGGATCTCCTGAGTTAATACTAGAGAGCGAATCCTCGGTCGCGGGGCGTAAGAACATGAAAGGGCACATTGTGAATCGGTGTCGTTGACAAAGCCAATTCGAGGGGAGTCAGTGCCAAGGCAGGGCTTCAGAGTAGAGTACCTGTGTCGTTGCCCACGTTGCGAGACCTGCCAGCGCTGGCCAAGGGGAGTATTCTGAGGCCCAAGTCCCGAGCTCGGTTTAGACGGTTAGCTCCTTCATTCAATCTGGATTCCTGGCGGCAGTGTGCGTCGTCTCCAGATCATCCGGATATGGAAGGAGCGTGTCCGATCAATGCCTCCGATTGGTCCTCCCGCAAAACGGCGTTTGGTAGCTCAACAGCGGGCGCTACTCGTTCCGTTCAATCCTTCAATCAAGAGCGACCCTGGCACTTTCAACTTGACTTGTGTTACTATCCGTATAATAAACCTGCTGCTTTACAACCATACATTATTACTATACTACGAAGGATCATGCTACCGCAGGGAACAGAGACAAAGGGAAAATCGGAGGGTGCGTCGGGCTGTGCCCTGTCATGCTGCTCGTCATTAATTCATCACCCAAGTGCACCTGTGGTCCATATTCCATGGTACTTTGGACATCACAACTAATCATCCAGCTGTACGCTTGTCTACTTAATCGAGAAGTACTCGAGCGCGGAGCACCCCGCCTGTTCTCGAGAGTCAAAGATGAGTTCAACCGTTTTGATACGTCTGAGGCCAGACGTGGGAGTGGAATCAGAATATTTTTGCACGTTGTTCGAACATCTAGACTTGGGGGCTGATCAGACTTGGAATCCACATCTACCAATGCGAGCGACCACATGGGTCAGTAAATATGCAGAAATTCCGATTCCCCTAGAATCGGTTTACTGTTCAGTCGTTGTATAGGGCTCTCTGGTGATCGAAAATTGCCAGCGTTGAACAGGGGGTATACCCCTTATAGCCCAAATTACCTTAACTGTAACGGGAGCACCCTCCTTAAATGGAAGGTCCACCGATCCAAATCTTACCTCCATCAGCAAATAGGAGCTATTACCTGTCATGTCAATAGAATAGGGACTAATTCCAGATTTGTAGTGTGGTCTCTGCACAGCACGATCCTTTCAAGATCTCGGGCCAATGGCACTGTCAGGCATCCCCCAGCTGTGTGTGGAATTGCGCCGATGGCAAGTACCCTGCGGCCTACGGCACAAGATTGGTAAGTTACATACGAGGCATAGTACTGGCAGCATTGAGGCCTCAGCCTGACGACGTGCATCTCAGCTACAGTATGCATGTGCACTGACTCAGTGACTCGATAGTAATGCTACCCGAGTGTAGTGCTGAAGTAAATAGTGTAATGTGTATTGAAATAACTGTACTTGACACTGAGTATAGGATGATTGAAGGTTCTTGCCACACACAGTTATGTTTGAGAGTTACGAACTTATATGATTTAGTATCACTGAGATCAACATATAATAACTAGGAGTATTCTTGATGCCGCGCAGCGCCCGGGAGGCTAGAAAGACTATTTACCTACTTGTAGAACCCTTGTCACTCGTTTACCTTACAAGAAATCGGACCTGGCATGCCGCGCAGCGCCGAATACTTCCCAAGTGATGGAATAACTGGGTTTACAGAGGGCGTAAGAAGCCTAGAAGCGATGCTTGAGGTAGAGTAGAACCTTAGGGTGGCGTGGCGGGTGCTCAGTCAAAATGTGGCCCGACCCAGTAATGAGGGATCCGGAGCGCCACCGTACGGGAAGGAATATGCCTTGAGTCATCGCGGGAAAGGTGAGTAATGATGTTCTAAGATTTAGGTCCGAGCGAGTACCGCTGCTATTGTCTTTTGCAGATGCGCATGCAAGAGGACTCCACTGGCTCACTGAGAAGTCAAGCAGCGCGTTTCCCCGGTAGGAACAAAGCTGTTTACCGTGCACTCAGAGCTCATGTCTGGTCCCATAGCGGCTCTGAAATAGGAATTCATGGACCTTGCCGAAACCTGATTCAGATTGTTTGCGCGCCACAACATTAGCCTGCCGGTGTTCGCAGGAGTTCTCTCAGACGGTCCGTAAGTCAATGGAGACGCCACCTCGCAAGAGTACCATCTGAGCTCTGCACACAACTACACGGTTGAATAGATCCATCATAGGTAAACGTTCTCACAAGTGCGCCACTCACCTCTACGAACTCTAGACCAATTCTTAAGTGTCACACCGCCTTGCCCAACGGTGGTGTCGCGCCCGTACCTCCCGCTTCTGATGAGCTGAATTCGGGAGATATGTTGAAGAAGCTATGTATGTGGGATCAAGCAAATACTGTAGGTCCACGACCCCAACTTTGAGCGGCCAGAAAAATAAGCGGGTGCGCCCATGGAGTCATCTACCGTGCAGCTTGTCACTCACTGTGACTGTTGCCCAGGAATCCCACACAGATTAAGTCCCTTGTGATTTAATTTGATAGGTAAGGTCATGCATCATCTTGCGTCGTATGGCGGAGAGTATCAACTGAGCAAATTTATAGATCTAATATGGCTTGACTGGATGGCAAAGAAGTCTCTCCGTGTATACTCAGAGCAAGGAGAGAGGGTGAGCGACGCGCCTGCTTGGATGCGCCGACCGGTACGCTTGTGGCGTCCAGTCATACCAGGCATCGTGGTCATGATTCCAGACCCTATGCATTCTGATCCCCCGCTAGTACGAATCGCTGAGAAAGGGGATCCCTCTAGGTCTCTCCTTTTGGGCTTCAGAACCTGTGTTGTCAATTATTCCAAGCCTTCCAGATCCGCAGCGGATTCGCAAATGTCCATTTTTGCCCTGGTACTGCTGCACTTCTTCTGTTTGCGAACGCACCGCGGTGGCGACCTCTCGCGTGCCGTTCCGGAAGGGCTTCTAGCTCATATGAGGATGCTGCTTCTCATGAGATGCAGTGTTTGGGTACTTGATACGTGGCATACCCTCAGCTTTTGTGCGGCGGTATCCCTTCCGTCTGGGGTGGCGTACTGCCCAAGGAGCATGATATATAAGACGCAGTGAGTTGGCCTTCGTACTCATTCACGAAGAAATATCCAAAGTCAAAGATGAGCTCCAGAGCCTCCATCTCTTCCCTTCTTACCTACTCATACACTCTCCAGCTCTCCAATATATAGTTGCATCTACATGTATAATAGTTCTGGAAACTGAGTTTAATGTTCGTCTGGTCTGTGAATTGTGTACACGGCGCGTGTTTTTTCCACTTACCACTCTGTTGATACTTGGACAGAAAGAGGGCAACGTCATATGCATATCTGATAGACTATTGTACCGGAGATGTAATTACAGTAGTGTGGTTGCACCGTTCCCAGCTCACCGTGGGAAGCTTAAGGCCTGATTTCCTAGTGGTGCGTTGGTTTCAATTCAAGGTTGTCCATCAAACGACGAAATTGGAAACATTGAGCTCTACCTCCTGCTATCATGCTCCCTGGTGTTTATGAGGCATTATATGACCTGTTCCAGAGACATCTCTTTGAGTTAGGGACCGATCAGAAGTATGTCTCGACAGACATCAGGAATATCGATCCTGCAGTCTTTTGGGGCATATTCAAGGCCTTCTTCGACGAAGCAGATTCTCAGCCTGAGACAGGTACCATTTCAGCTGGTATGCATCGGACTACCATTACAAACCGTCTGACCTGTTCTCGCACTGCAGTCTGGGACGTATTGATGGAATACAGGGATGAAGATATACGGCGTCAGATTCTGTTGGGGAAGCTAGTAGAGGTTTTCAATTCGCATTTCAAGGCTTCACGCATCCAACATGATTGCACCTGAATGGAAGGAGCCCATGCTCTAGTATTCGCTGTACTGAATGTAGGTTACATCGAGTAAGCCTGACCGGTGATAAGCCTCAGGATCGTCTGACCCCCGAAAACGAGGACTTAGCATGTCGTACAAGCCCCCCCGGAGCTTATTCGACATAGCGCTCACACGCCTCTAGGCTTCTATGGGCTCTAAAAGAATTTTTCTGTTTAGCTCCGGACTTCCTAACATCCTTGAGGCATACACGGATCCATTCCACGATTTATCTCCGCGAACAGGAGCTCCGGAGCGACTTAACCAATGCGGCTTCTAGATGCATTAGCTCTGGGGCCCGCGGACGCTTCTATCGAGGGGTGTCGTCCTCATGCCCAACCTCCAACACTCACTCCCTCTCGTTTCCATCAAACTACCGAAGGTGCGGACGCATATGAGTCACCATGAGGCCAGCATCTGTCAGCAAGCGGCCGGAGGTAATTAGCACGTGACCGGCGCATTGCGGGGAGTGATGGGACTGCTTAGGGCAGGTGGCGGAGTGTCGAGGCGACCTATAGGGGCTGGGACGAGCAAGTGGGAGTGCAAGAGAGTCATATGGTGTATGGTATAATGGCGGCAAGTGCTGAGCAATCCTGTGGGTAGCGGCGTTTATTGTTATTTATCTCAGGACAGTCGCAAAGCCATTCCTGTAGTATAAATTGTACAAAGTAGCATACAGAAAAACAGGTTTCGACTTCCCCATCTCAGAGAATTAGTGTTACGATCTCAGCGACCCGAGAAGTTCGAAAGCGTTGAACTTAGCAAATTATAACCGATTCTAGCTTTGCCAATAGGCCTGACTCGTCGAGTGAATTATCTCCGCCATCGATTTAATTAGCTCCGGTGAGTCTCACATAGCAGAATAAAATTAAAACAAGTCCTTTTAGCGGTTTCTACTCCCATGGGCCTGAACCTACACTCGGTTCCGTGGTTTGCAACTTTGTTTGCGACTTTCCGGAGATAAATACTCCGGAGTGTCCATTAGTGTTTGTTTCAGGCGTCAAGGTTTTTTGTTTTATTTTTCTAGGTCTTCCTACGGACTACCCTACGGCATCTTACTCCTCCTTTCCCCCTCGAACTATTAAATACCCTTCAGTTGTCTCGGACCGCCTTCACCCATATCACGGGGTTTAGGTTAATTTCTTTTGGTCCTTGGTGATTGTTGTGTGTCTCTGCATATCACCGGGGCCCCCGACTGACTCTGTGTCCCTTGATGCAAGACATTGGGTTACTTGCATAACACCACCGAGGAAGACAACCACTACGGCTTTAGGGGTGCCTGGAGACGCTATCCAGTCCTGAAACAGATGTTTGTCTGGTCAGCATTCGTCAATTTTGCGGAAGCCACATTCCTCGAGACCCAACAGCAGAGCTCTGTATCTGATTACAGCATCGAGCATATTGCTGTCTTGGCCCATCTTTTCCTGGCGGAAGCCGTGGCTGCACTCCACTCCGACCACGGTTGTCGCTCGCTTCTCCAGCTCTCATCTTTGGCCGAAACGGCCAAGTGGCACTACACCATGCAACCCCTGAATAACAATACCTGGCTTGAGGATATTCCTGCCATAATTGAAACGGTGTATGACCGTGGGGGCTCGCAGATAGAATGGCTTCCGGGATGGGGTGCCAAGGTGAGGAGCAGATTTGTGGTAAATTTCAGTCAACCGGTCACGATAAAGGAGGCGATGGCGACGGTCTTTGTGCAACGCCATACGAAGGTACCTGTGCCCCGAATTCATGGTGTCCTCTGCCGCGGAGGTGAAGTTCATATCGTGATGGATTTTGTGGATGGTAATCGACTATCCAATCTTGTGTATAAGGACTCTCTGGCTAGGAGTCAGATTCGCGAGGTGGTCACGCAACTTGTCAGCTATGTTCGTGAATTGAGGCAACTGGGTGGCGTTCGCGACGAGGTTACTGCTTGGCCCTGTGGGCTGCCTCACAGTGACCTATATGATCCACCACCGGCACATCCGATCCCGTCTCTTGCTGATTTCTATCAGTACTGGGTGGATAGATGGGAATACCAAGAGATATACCCGGGCAAGTGGCCTAGCACTGGCAAGGACAAGATTGACAGAAATCTGTCTGCGGTGCTCAGTCACGGCAATCTTGAGATCGGCAAGATCGTGGTCCGAGGAACACACATCGTCGCAATCCTCGACTGGAGCCATCTTGGATGGTATCCCGACTTCTGGGAAGCACTCATGGCTCGACAATACCGTGCCAGCCAGGATCCCGAGAGGAAGTGGACTACAGAAGTGATGGAAGCGTTTGGTGTTACAGGGGAGGTAGCTGACGGTTTCTATGCACTTGTTTGCTCAGCAAGATGACCGTATTCCCGGCAAGGATATATCCATACTGCATAATTACGATATCCTATGTTGGCTTCTGTTCATTATGGATATCTGATTTGCCATCACTTTCAGTACAATCAGTGGCCTAATGCTGATATTGTTCCATTATTCCACATTGCTCACTGGACCTACCAGCAGATAACTGGAGAGCCTTCTTGATGCTGGCAGATGCTATATAGTATATGAGAGCGGCAATTAAGTGTAGTTAAAACAGAACTGAGGGATATTCATGCTCAGCTTACTGAACACATGTTGTGGTAGAGTAAGTCCAGGGTGGGCTATGAGAATTTTGAGATGGTTTATGTACAATTTGTGCTTTTCCGTGTGATACGCTGATATGCACTGACACACAACAATCACCAAGGACCAAAAGGAATAAACCTAAACCCCGTGATATGGGTGAAGGCGGTCCGAGACAACTGAAGGGTATTTAATAGTTCGAGGGGGAAAGGAGGAGTAAGACGCCGTAGGGTAGTCCGTAGGAAGACCTAGAAAAAAATAAAACAAAACCTTGATGCCTGAAACAAACACTAATGGACGCTCCGGAGTATTTATCTCCAAAAAGTCGCAAACAAAGTTGCAAACCACGGAACCGAGTGTAGGTTCGGGCCCACGGGAGTAGAAAATGCTAAAGGGACTTGTTTAATTTTTATTTCGCTATGTGAGACGCACCGGAGCTAATTGAATCGATGGCGGAGCTAATTCACTCGACGAGTCAGGCCTATTGGCAAAGCTAAGATCGGTTATAATTCGCTAAGTTCGACGCTTTCGAACTTCTCGGGTCGCTGAGATCGTAACGCTAATTCTCTGAGATGGTGAAGTCGAAACTTGTTTTTCTGTACACTACTTTGTACAATTTATACTACAGGAATGGCTTTGCGACCGTCCGGAGATAAATAACAAATAACCGCCGCTACCCACAGGATTGCTCAGCACTTGCCACCGCTATACCATGCACCATACGACTCTCTTGCACTCCCACTTGCTCGTCCCAACCCCTAGAGGTCGCCTTGACGCTCTGCCACCTGATCCAAGCGGTCCCATCACTCTGTGTGACGCTCCGGTCACGTGCTAATTACCTCCGGCCGCTTGCTGACTGATGCTGG